CAATGCTGTTCACAGTGTCCAGCTGACAGAGGATGGGGCTGTGTTTAGCTATTGCTGCAGCTTAGGCAGAACAGTCATAAAGTCTGGCTTGATTTAGGCTAGACAGGCTGTGGGATAGTTATCTGAAGCTCACTCCAGGTGAACCAGTGAACCAGGGATCTTTGGCAGCTCATTCAGAGCAAAAACCTTCAAACTCACTACATGGACTTTGGGGGACAAAAAGATTCTTAAGATTGCAGGCAGCTTGAAAAATTAAATAAAGGAATCAATTTCTAGATTCTCAACTGCTATAATATATTCTTTCTTAGAATTGTTCTATCTGAAAATGGCCCAGGTTCTCAGCTCCCCTTTCACACTAGTCCTTCCTCTACTTTTTAAAAGAAAGACATATCCTTACCCCATTCCCCTGCCCCATCCATCCCCAACCTGCTTTGCCCCAGAGTATAAGGACTGTTTATGGGGCCAAGTGATGTGCAGTGTAAATGCCAGTGTTGAGAATGGAAAGAGTTCTACCTCCTGGGCTCCACGTCCTCCGGGCCAGGTGGTTCCCAACTTTTGTAGTCATCACAATGGAAGGAAGGCTTTTCAGCTGAAATATTACTCAAAATAATCTGGATGATGAAGTCTGTATTGCTTTTGGCATACAATTTAATGACATTTGTATAACAGATGCCTTTTATTCACAACTTCTTATTTTCTGTGAATACGTTTTATTAGCATTTATAGCTTTAAAAATTAAAACAGAAGTAGGATTGTTGTTGAACCTGTCTTATTCCAGTAAGAAGTATTGTTAATTTAGGGCTAAATGGAGATACAAAAAAGCCCCATTCATTCATTACCAACTACAATTCCAATAAAATTTTACTTTTAATGTTTAATAATTGTCTATCAAAATTTAAATTTATTTGATGAATGACATGCTACTAATCATCATAATGATAAGCCAATCCAAGAGAAATACATTTTTTAAAGACTTAGAGATTTGCAATCATAGGATATAAAAAATATTCCACTTATGTAATTTTTTGTTGCAGAGAAGTATGATAGGGTGATCAATATGGTTTTCAAGTATAAAATTATATTGCACTCGGGTGTATGTGGGGAAAGAGAATATAAATATGAATTCAAGAAGAAAATGAATATAAAATTTCTGTTGTTAAAGAACTTGTACACATATATTTTAAACTGATGGTGGTGAAAATTGATTGCCATGGCCTTATGATTTCTTGGCCACACCTGAAATAATTCTGCAACAGTTTTATTTTATAGGTCATCATTTACAGTGTTCCAAATTATACTCTTTGGAACTATTTAAAAAGAAGATGAAAGTTTTTAGATATGAACTTGAAAAAAAAAAAGAAGAGGTAGTGTGCATAGGTTTTTCAAAATTCTTATGGGAGTATGAGAACAGAAGAGTGTGAAGGCTGCCATGCCGGGGGTCATGTGGAAGAAGGGATACGTATTACAGTCAGTTCTGTTGTTTATTAGCTCTGTTACTTTGCACAGATTACTTGCATTTATCCAGTTTGTTTTTTCTGTACAATGTAAATAATACTTTTCTTACTAAACTTGATGAAAAGGAAGTGACTTGATGTGAACAACACTTAGCAAAGAATCCTACATATGGTCAGTAAATGCTTATTTCTCTTCACTTCCCCCAAAGCTGTTATGGTTCCTCTCCCTCTCCCTCACTCTCCCTTCCTCCACTCCCTCACCTGTATTCAGAGTTAGCCTCATCTTACTTTTCCTATTTAATATATTTGTTTCACATTCTGAAGGTCCCAAAGTCTCTTCCCCAAGTTTATTCATCCAACAAATACATCCTGGAGCACTTCCTGTATTCCAGGCATTATTATGGCACTGGGGATAAATCCGTGAATAAAAACAGATGAAATCCCCTTACCACTGTTGAGTGTATCCATGGGTTATGCATGTATGCATATAATTTATTTGGTTAATCTCTTCCCATCCACCCTACCCCTCTCACCTCTGAGATCTGTCAGTCTGTTCCATGCATCTGGACCTATTAGTGTGTTGAAGGCCTGGGAAGGGGGAGAGAGGAGAAAAAGGGGGACATCTGTAAAAATGTCAACAATAAAAAAATAAACTTGAAATCGAAGATGAAATCCCTGTGGTCATAGAGCATATACTATAACTAAGTGCATGGTGATGAGAATGCGTTGGGTACTCCCCATATAGCTGCGTCTGTTCGTTGTTATCAGTGTCCTTTTACATTGGGCAGTCCCAGTAATGGGGAGACCAGTTAGGTTTTCTGCAGATTGTCCCATCTGTCCATCCATCCATCCATCCATCCATCCATCCATCCATCCATTTGTCCAGCCATCCAGCAATTCAATTAAAATGTACAAAGAAACTCCTAGGTATCAGGATCATGATCCATGCTAAGGCATTCTTACTCTGAAAGTTGATGATAGCAATACTCTATTTTAATAAAATCCCCTTTTGTACCCCCTTTATCACAATTATGCACAGAGAATAATTGCATCATGTATCTCTTTTGAGGTAAAAATGCAAATATCTCTGATTTCCTTTAATTTCTGCCTGTGCTTTCTATTTATTTAAAACTAGAGGCCCGATGCACAAAATTCGTGCAAGGGGCTTGGCCCTCATAGCCCCAATTTCGTCCAAAAGATTGTCTGGAAGGACTCTGGTCTAATTAGCATATTATGCTCTTATTATTATAGATATCAAGTACATTTTAAATGATTCAAACCAATTCATGTATTTCTTCCAAAACAATAATTTGTTTTCTTGAGATTGACTTCTAGAATGCAACTAAAAAAGCCTTTATTTAAAAGGATGGATTTAGGGATGGGAAAAGATCTGGGCACTCAAAGAGATTCTGTTTCTATTGATTTTGAAACTGTATCATGGAATGTTGTTCTACCACTTACTTAGAAAACTTATTTAGAAAACTAGTCTCTCATAAATACATCATTGAGTTAGTTTATCCAGATTTTACCCAGAAATTTAAAAATAGCTTGTAATATTCAACACTCCTAGTTTTCTTCTCTCTACCCAATTCTGGTATTCAGCGAAACCAGTTTTTAAGATGAGACATTTCAATTCTTTGAGCCAAAAAAAATCTTTTATCAAAGTCTTAAGTTCTTTGAGTCAAAAATAGTCTTTCTTATTTTATTGAGATAAAGTTCACAAAAGAAAATTCATCTTTTGACTCCTTTAAAGTTTATAATTCAGTGGTTTTTAGTATATTCAGAATGTTGTGCAACCATCACCATTATCTAATTCCAGAACATTTCCATCACCCCAAAAGAAACACTGTACCTCCCAATTCTCCTCTTTGCCAACCTCTAGTAATGACTAATCAATTTTCTGTCTCTATGGATTTGCCTGTTTTGGATATTTCACCTACATGGAATCATATAGTATGTGACTCCTTTCACTTAGCATATTGTTTTCAAGGTTCATCCATGTTGTAGCATGTATCAGTCTTTCATTTTATTTTATGGCCAAAGGCAATGTATGGATCTACAGTGGTTCTCAAACTTCTGGCCCTTTAAATACAGTTCCTCATGTTGTGACCCAACCATAAAATTATTTTTGTTGCTACTTCATAACTGTAATGTTGCTACTGTTATGAATCGTAACGTAAATATCTGATATGCAGGATGGTCTTAGGCGACCCCTGTGAAAGGGTTGTTCGACTGCCAAAGGGGTCTCGACCCACAGGTTGAGAACCGCTGAAGCACATTTTGCTTATCCAGTCATCAGTTGATGGACATTTGGCTTGTTTCTACTTTCAGGCTATTATGAATAATTCTGCTATGAATATTCATGTGCAAGTTTTTGTGTGAACATATATTGCCAATTCTCTTGGTTATATACCTAGAAATGGAATAGCTGGGTCAGATGGTAACTCTTATGTTTAACTTTTTGAGGAACTATCAAAACATTTCCACATTAGTTGTATCATTTTACATAAAAATATTTTACGTATATTTGCTGTATGTGTGCAAAATATGTATTTCTATACTAGAGGGTTCCTTTCCTACTTTCAAACAGTAAAAATATCACTCAAGTGAATTTAATTTGGATTTTCAAGAAAAACAATTAAATAGAAGAAAATTCCACTTAGAGAAATGAAGCAATACTTTTTATGCAAGCATTTTATGTATATATGTGTATATAGATACATCTTTTTACTCCTCAAAAATATATTTGACATATAAAGAATTTGAGAGTATTTTTATTTTTAAGAATAAAAATTGAGCCGAAACCGGTTTGGCTCAGTGGATAGAGCGTCGGCCTGTGGACTGAAAGGTCCCAGGTTCGATTCCGGTCAAGGGCATGTACCTGGGTTGCAGGCACATCCCCAGTGGGAGATGTACAGGAGGCAGCTGATCGATGTTTCTCTCTCATTGATGTTTCTAACTCTCTATCTCTCTCTCTTCCTCTCTGTAAAAAATCAATAAAATATATTTTAAAAAACAAACAAACAAACAAACAAAAAAGAATAAAAATTGATATTTATTCATCAGTTTATAATGGTCTTTATTATCCATAAATGAGTGAGACCATGTGGTATTTTTCTTTCATTGGCTTATTTCACTTAGCATATGCAGAGCAGCATCGAACAAACTGTCAAACTACAGCGGGAAGGCCGGGGAGGGTTGTGGGGGGAGGGTAAGAGATCAACCGAAGGACTTGTATGCATGCATATAAGCATAACCAATGGACACAAGACACTGGGGGATAGGAGAGGCCATGGGAAGGTCAATGGGAAAAAAAAAGGAGACATATGTAGTACTCTTTATAATACTTTAAGCAATAAAACAAAATTTAAAAAATTGATATTTATTCAGTATAACTACCACTAAGGAAAGATTATGTAAAATATTTTTTTGAAGTTTTGTTTCAAAAAACATTTTCATCACTCACTATTAACAAGGAAAGTAATTATTTCAACCTTATAATCCATACTGTGTTTTAAGCGATATGTTTATTTTTACCATGTACAGACTTTAAACCTCACTTATGAACGGGAATCATCTGGAAGAGAAGACTAAGGACTCAGAAGACTGGCTGTGCAGTAAGCCATGCACATGGAGTTAGTAAGGTGCTCTTTCAGGTGGTTCAAGCTCTTGGCCACAAAGCCCTGGTGAGTATCCTCAGTGCTTTTATTCAATAATAACGCTTCCTCAATGTTTTTTTTTAAATATTTTTATTTATTTCAGAGAGGAAGGGAGAGGGAGAGAGAGATAGAAACATCATTGATGAGTGAGAATCATTGATCAGCTGCCTCCTGCACGCCACCTACTAGGGATTGAGCCCAAAACCCAGGCATCTTCCCTTGACCAGAATCGAACCTGGGACCCTTAAGTCCATAGGCCAACACTCTATCCACTGAGCCTAACCGGCTAGGGCTCAATGTTGGTTCTATAGGTATAAACTATATGAATGCTTCATGTGTCAAAAAGCCAGTCATTCTAGAAATCTATGGGTTATGCCTGCCTTTTTGCATCTCATTTTTATTATTAAACACAAATCCTTTCTATTCTCCCTGAATTGCACCCACATACTCTTACTGAATGGGAAGGTGCTCACTTAAAGGCTGCAGGTTCTGGCTCTTACACACTGGGTTTGAAGAGCAAAAAGTTTCCTTTCTGTCCAGAGCAGCAGAGTCCCTAGAACTAGCAGAGCTAGTTCAATGCATTTCATGAGTGTAGTAAGCAGGATACATACCCCCAAAGAAGTCTACATCCTAATCCCATGACTATGTTTTGTTTCTTGGCAAGGGAGACTTACAGTCACACGTGGAATTAAGATTGCTAATCAGCTAACCTTTCCAGGGGGAAATTATCTTGGATTATCAGGGTGGATCCAGTATAACCTGAAGGGCCCTTCGAAGTAGGAGAAGGAGGCAGGAGAGTGAGAGTCCAAGAAGGAATGTGGTAGAAGAGGAGGTCAGAGGGATACAGCAAGAGAGAGACTTGACCTGCCCCTGCTGGCATTGAAGATGGAAGCGAGCACAAGCCAAGGAATGCGGGCAGCCTCTAGAATCCAGACAAGGCAGGGAAACCGACTTACCCATGGCACCTCCAGAAGGAACACAGCCCTGCCAATGCCTTGATTTTCGCCGGTGAGACCCATTTCTGACTTCTGACCCCCAGACCATAAGATAATGAATGTGTGTTATGTGTTAAGCCTCTGAGTTTGTGGTAATGTGTTTTAGCAGCAGTAGGAAGCTAATATGATATTGTTACAAGTGACTAAAAGAGACTTTGGGAGTTAAGGCAGAGAAACATTAAATAATGAAAAATACGAAAAGTTTTCAAGTTGATGAACACGTGTTATGGGCAATGAAGGAGGAGAGGGTGGTGGAAAGGAGCATGTACTTATCAGAAGTGCAGTCAAGTCTTACTTGTTTGGAGAGGATGTGGAGGAAACTGTAAAGTAGTCTTAATTTTGAATGGTTCTTTAAAGAACTCATTATTTTTAAACATATACTGCACGAGGAGAGGAAGGAGAGGGTCATGGGACTCAGACCTGGCCTGACCGCCTACCCGCCCCGCCCCCCGCCCCCGACTTGGTACCTCTCTGCCTGTGACTTTTTGAGCACATTATTCAACATTTCTGAGTCCCTTTGCATTGAGTAAAATGTGGAAAAACATATCCTGGCTACAGTTTTAGGGAGGCCTGAACTGCTCTAAGATGGAACCTGTACTCATTTACAAATGTCCAACGTGGTACAGAGTCACTTAACAAACAATGGTTATAAATACTTTAACTTGATTGAAAACAGTTCATTACTGTGTTTAATATCTCTTTCCCTTTTTTATTCTCTTAATTCACTTAGTTGCTTCACTGAAATGCCAACCTGGCCTTTTTGGGGATTTTCATGAATTCGAATAGAAGGGTTGGGAGGAGGGGGACTTCAGTGTGGAAATCTGTAAGTATGGCTAGACTGGCCCCTGTCTCCCATGGTCCAGCCAGGGCCTCCCCCAGGGGCATGTCTCTGTGGGTGTCTGTGGTGTTTACCAGCATCTCAGCACAGGATGAAAGAGTAGAGGGTGAAGAAGAAGGCTCACTTAGGACGTGAGGGTTTAGTGAGGAGATGACTACGCAGAACAAAGGACAGGCTGGCAGAGAACTCAGGGCCCAGGCTGGGGCCCTTCTCCCACCCTTGGGGATGATGTGACGGGAAGCCCCAACTCCATCATAGCTGTTTTAAGGGTAAATATAGAAGCTCTTGGACAAATATAAGACCAAAGCCAATGATTGTGAATGTTTAGTGGTCACCTTGGTCAGGCCCAGCTGCTCGGACAAACACTATAGACTGCATGGCAACAGGAATTTATTTTTCACAGGTCTGCAGGCTGGAAGTCCAAGATCAGAGTGTCAGCAAAGTGGATTCTGGGGAGGGCTCTCTTCCATGTTGCAGAATGTTGACTTCTCCTTGTATCTTCACATGGTGGAAAGAGGATGGGAGAGCTCTCTGGGACCCTTTTATTAGGACACTAATCCCATTCATGAGGACTCCACCTTCTTAACCGAATTCCATCCCAAAGGCCACATCTCATAATCTATATAATAAAAGCCTTGCCCTAGCCGATTTGGCTCAGTGGATAGAGTGTTGGCCTGCGGACTGAGGGGTCCCAGGTTCGATTCTGGTCAAGGGCATGTACCTTGGTTGCGGGCATATCCCCAGTGGGGGGTGTATAGGAGGCAGCTGATCGATGTTTCTCTCTCATTGATGTTTCTAACGCTCTATCCCTCTCCCTTCCTCTCTGTAAAAAATCAATAAAAAATATATTAAAAAAATAAATAATAAAAGCCTAAGCAACCATTATGGCAGAACAACCAGTCGCTATGATGCACACTGACCACCAAGGGGCAGACGCTCAATGCAGGAGGTGCCCACTGGTGGTCAGTGCGCTCCCACAGGGTGAGCGCCACTCAGCCAGAAGCCGGGCTCACAGCTGGTGAGTGCAGCGGCGGTGGCGGGAGACTCTCCCACCTCCACAGCAGCACTAAGGAGCAGTGAACCAAGCAGTAAGGAGCAGCAAACAGGTGGGCGGTAAGAAGTGAGGGGTCTCAGACTGCGAGAGGGATGTCCAACTGCTGGCTTAGGTCTGCTCCCTGCCCCGGACTGCAAGAGGGCACAGGCCAGGCTGAGGGACTGCCCCGCTCCCCACCTCCAGTGCACAAATTTCATGCACTGGGCCTCTAGTACTATCATATTGGGGTTAGGATTTCAACATATGTATTTGAGAGACACAAATATTCAGTCCATACAGTGGTCCCTTTTGGTTCATCTCTCCTCTGTTAAAATTTATTTATAATGAAGTTACTCCAATTAGATTTCTGCCTCCATAATAAAACCCCGAACTATCTAACTCTTCCCTAGCTAGTCCATATTATTTCCACTGCCTTCCAAACTATCTCCCTGTCCAGCTAGGTTTCCTTCCTTCCTACCTTCTAGCTGGCTTTCCTTAATGTCATTCAGCATACACTGTCTTTGCACCGTCCCTGAGCAAAGCCTCTCCTCTCTAGTTTTCATTCTGAGAGTCATTTTCCTTCACTCATCTATCCATCCAGGCCTCACCTTCAGTGTCTCCATGGTACCCAGCACAATGAGGACCTCACTAAGGGGTGTGAGTACTTCTGGACTGATTAATAAGGGAAAAGGTAATGAAGACCACTAGAGAGAGGATAACGTTTATCTTGTCACCAATGACAATCAGCTGGTGTCAACAGCCTATTAAATATAAGAAGTTTTCTAGAATTAATTCCTCTATTTATTTACTTATTTATTGTGGTTTACATGAAAAGGGACAGTTTAAATTCATCTGCATTTTTGCTTTTTTGTAGGTCACTTATACTTTTTCTCTTCTCTATGCAACTTGTATATGGGGTAAGTACATTAATTAGCTCTGATGACATGCTGAAAATTCACTTTATTGAATGCATCATTTTTGTTATATTTTTAAGCAAGTAGCTCCCTGGGATTCAGTTTTCTCATCTGTAAAATGAAGTGTTGGACTAGATGAACTCTAAAGTTTCTTTTATCTTTTACAGTCAAGACTGCTTAGCAAACTGCCTCCAAATGATATTGGAGATATTTTTATTTTATAATATAATCCTTTCTTAAAAACATTTTTTGGAGAGGGCCAGGAAGCAGCTGGGCCACTTCACGATTAAATCAAGAAATATAAGATTAAATTTGAAATTTTAACTCTGGAGTAAGATAAGCCTAGAACATTCTGTAATAAGATCTAAGAATCTAAGTTATTAAAAACCAACTTCAGATGTTTTTGGGAAATTCAATGGGCTGCCTGTAACTCAGGTCGATCTTAAGACAGCTGGGCTGCATTAAATCACTCTAGTGAACACATTTCTATCTCATCTCTCCAGCTCGGATCCACCCAGTCCAATTCTGTGATGCAAGTTATCAAAGCAAATCAAATAGAAAGCTTCTTTCTGTTCTCTTCTTATCAGTCAGGAGTAGAAGGCATTTGTGTTCAGAGATGAGAAGTCTTGGTTCTTGGCTGTGACAATGAATGATCTCTTAACCTAGCCAAGACTCAGTTTATCCTGATTGAAGTAAAGATGATAAGATTTATCCAGCTCAGTTCACATGCACTTGAGAGCATCACCTGAAATAATAAATGAAAACACACTGAAATATATGTGTGTGGATTTTTCTATTTATCTTATTTGATATTCCTGTTTATTTTTGTATTATATTCTTTTTATTATTATTATGAAGGTTTACAGAGTCCTAAATTTCACTTCCTTTGTTCCTTATGTTCCATATGAATGAATTTGGTTCCTGAACCGAAAATCGTCCTGCTCTGGATTTTCCCAGCAGCCTGTGTATGCAGAGATTCTGGAGTTCACACAGGGAGTGGCTATGCTATAGTTGGGTTGTAAAGGTGGAGATATAAATTGCTGCAGTATCAATGGGAGGCAATTTAACTTTCAAGATTTTAAGTGCACGTACCTGTTGACACCGGAATTTATCTTTTTGGAATGTATCATACATACTTACATTGACTTGTGCATAAAGATAAATGCACAACAATACTAGTTGCAGGATACTGTTCAGTAGCAAAAGAAGGGAGATAGTTACATTTCCATCAGTAAAGACTGATTACACAAGTTAGAATACTTTGTAGCCAAATGTATTATATTGGCATGATTTTGAAGACATCTGATTAAGTGAAAACAGCAAGGCACAGGAAAATATACCACACCAAAAAGTTGTGTGTGTATGCATGTGATAATCATATGAATGTGCTTATAAATACCCAGACACCAATTTGAGGAGATCAATTACCTCTAGGTGAGAGAATGGGAGGCCAAGATGGAAGAGAAAATGTCTTTTCCCATTATACTCTTTTGCACTATTTGGTGTGGCTTTTTTTTTAATCATGTGCATATGTTATTTATTTTTCAAAAAAGAAAATAGAGGTACAAATATAGGGCAGATGACTAATCCATAAATTAATAACATTATTTTCTTAAACTTTCTATGCAATAAATATTTATTTAAAAATATCTATCATAAAATGGATCATGACTTTTCCTTTTTTCTCTTTGGAGAAGTTACATTGGTTTTAGAGAATGTCAGTATATTGCCAGTGAGTACAGTATATATTTTGAATGTTGACTTGTCTGAGATAGAGTCTTTATCTTCTTTTAATGGGTTCCTACAATCTGTTTTTTAAGATTCTTCCTCTATACATGCCTCCTCCTTTTCAAATGCTGTTTATTGGGCTGTGTCTAATGTAGAAGAACTTTGTAGAGACTAAAATCACCTCTTGCTTTTTTCTTTTATTGGTCCAAGTCAAAGCTTTACATACAACTATTTCTGTTTCTTTATTAGAATCTGCTGATCTATTTTAAATGGATTCTTCTCTGAATGTAATTTTGCTCCCAAATATCTCAGTGAAGCTTGGCACAATGAAGTTAAAAAAAAAACACCAACACACATAAAGCAATAAAACAACAAACTTGCCTTTATTATCAAGCCATTGAATCAACTGCCCCTCCTTTTTCCCTGGTTGTTTTGATATTTCACTGAACACATAGTAATGAACCCAACCTCAAATGAACCTAAGTGTTCAGACTAGTTGTTTTAATGCTTTCATGCTGTCCTGATCTGGCCCTGGGCATTTATTAATTTAATTTTCTTTTTTACCTTACCAAGGTTTTGAACTCTATGTTTCTACATCATAAATAACAGAGTTACTCAAAACTCAAGAGGCATCTATTTCTAAAACTTCAAATACATTTTTTAAACTTTAATTATCTAATTGCTTGGCTCTTGTCAAGGTTTAAATTCTTATATACTTTCAACGATCCATTAAGAGTTTTGTTTATAAGGATGTCTTTTCATTATTGCTTAATGTAAAGTTATTTTCTTTTGGATTGTTTCTGAGTATAATTTTCCTGAAAAAAAAGTCTAAATTATGTGATTGAAAAGGAAAAAAAAAACAACATGCTAGATAGATTCCTTTCCCACATATACATATATATTTATATATGTGCATATTCATATATATATTCACATACATATCTATGTACCTACATATAAAACTTCTGATGGAAGTTTTATATATATATAAATCAGAACTATAAATATTGGTTTAACTGTTTTGTTTCCCCATTATACATTAATCTAAAGACTTAAGTTTACAGCCTTGAGTTTAAAACGATCTATCAGTTACAGAAATGTGTGGTTAATACACGCACACTGCAGTGAGCACTGGGCCTGGCTGGATCATGCCTTTCTGGCATTTGCATTAATGCCCTCAGCTCCTGGCACCTGGAGCTGCTTTAGGCACCACT